TTAAAGAAATTATGCAACATTATAACGTCAATGAATCCTCCAAAAAATTAAATGTAATTGTCGTGGTTGATATTTTATAAATGAAGTTTCATAAGTTTATCTTTTTCCCTTAATGATTAGCCTAAACGGTTTCCTTCGTGGGGTGTCATAGCTTTGCAAAGTTCCTAATGAAATTAGTTTCCATGGTGTTTTTCCCAAAACAGTCACAAAGAAGGAAAAAATAGCTACACCCTACTTGAATTCAAGTTGTGAAGCCAACATGTTCGCCGGTAACTATTTGTTTCCTAAATATGATTGGCATTTTCCAGACCCTGAAGAACTTCACGATTAACGCAAACCGCAGCCCTGTTACACAGTGAATAATAGAAAAACGCTATATTGATGAATCATGACACGTGATCCTAAATCGCCTATAAAAGAACACACTGAAATTGTTTCAATCATTGGATAACAGCAGAGGTGACCATTGTTGAAGAAATTGGAAAGCAGATCCTTTTTCCATATACACCAGCCATAAAGCTCTTTAACCATGAATACCCTCAGGCTTCTTATTTTGGTAAGTACATTTTAATGAGTTAATTAAGTTCCAGTGGAGTATTTTGTACGTCAGTAAGGACATTTGTCTATATTTCCAAGTTATCATCACTGGAAAACCCAAACCCAAATTTAAGATAAAGAACTTTAAAGACATCATTTATATTTTGATCGTAAATTATTTGCACAGGAAACTACAATAATATTAGGAGCTAAGAAATTGTCATTTTTGTGCAATATCCTTACATATGATGGTTTTTTACCGATTCTGGCAGAATGTCTGTCAAATATGAATCTATTCAATTGTCTAATTCGCTCACAAGCTCTGTTTAGCTTATTTTACAAAGCATCGCTTATTGGACGGAAAAATGAGAGGACTGAGGCTACAATTCTTTTAATTAGATTATCGTCCCACGCTTGTGAAGAATTTTCCACATCCTTCGGCGTAGTTGTCATTGATTTCGGAGTGAAGGAATACGATTACCTGCGATGCATTGAACCAGTATGAGGACTCTTGCGCCAGTATTGCGCTCAAATATCACGCTTTTTTATTTCCAAGTTCTTGCCTTCAGAAAGCTGGGAATGGCAGCAAACTTCAACAAAATACTTTGATCAACTTCAATTAACTCTGATTAATTAAGCAATAAAGGAGATAAAGAAAGTGATTGAATGCCATAGTGATTTTACGTTCTTATTCAAGATCCGCTTTCTAGTGTGTGAATAGATATTGCACTTGGCTATGGTTAAAGTCGTCTTTCATTTCGCGCTAATATTAATGATGTCCAAGAAAAACACATCTGAATTCATTTACTAGAATACCCCACTTTGCGGCCATATTCATTAATGTGATAGCTGGTAGCTGACAGGTTATCCGCACTTGTGTCCATAATTAGAAGTTTATGGCCTTTATTCTTCCTGTTTACAGGCAGCATTCTGTGTCATATTCCTGATATTACTTGTTCAAGGAGAGAATGAAAACGAAGTCAGTGAGGCAGACATGGAATTGCAAGGTGCTTGATAATTTAGTTTAAGTCTTAAAACAGAGTAAGCATCATCTCTCGCATGCGTGCGTTGGAGCCAGTTTTCATGGCCAAACGTAGCGACGCAAACCATCGAAAATAAATTTGGAAGGCAAAAAAATTCATTCCATAATTCAGGAAACGAAACTAATTACTTCTTAAACTGAAATTTTTATCGGATTAATATCGGATATAAGAATGATGAGAACCTGTTTTTTCCCGCTTCACCAACCCACAGTACAAATTTTTGTGGAAAAAAAAAACAGTTCTTATGACACCAAGACAGCATTATTTATTTCTCTCTCACACAAATTCAAAGTGACTTTAAAAAGAACCTTTATTACAAACCGTATCTATGTGTTCGTCTATAAATTCTTTTTATTTTCCAGGCCATAATCTTAGAGAGAAGAGGAGCTTCAGGTCGTGGGGAAGGAGGAGCCGCCGCCATTACCGCCCCTCTTACCGCCGCCGTTACCATTACCGTTATGGTTACTGCGCACGCTATTGGGGTAAGTAGTTTATTCTGTTTTTATCAAAATAAATCAGCTAAAAAATTTCTTTTAAAGTTAATGCATTATACGTTATGCACTCTGATGGTAATTGGCGATGTAACCTCGTACCCAGCGTTTAAGTAACTGAAATGCTGGGACCGGCCCTCCCAACGCTTGGCCGTAGAAGGTCTGGTTATGAGACTATTGCCGGTGATCAATCAGAGAACAGACGCAAGGAGAGGTCATGAAAAAGCCCGTTTTTTTTATTATTTCGTTCAGCGTTACGCACAGTGTTGAAAATATTTGCAATATTTTTATAAATGTAAGAGCTGAAGGATCTGTTTCCGAAGGAAGAAAAAATGGGCTAGTTCCTAGCTACAAGAAAAGTACGTTGCAAGGCACACAAAAAATCTCAGAGAGTCAAGCGACCGAGGGGAATTTCCTTTTCTTGTTTAATATCAAGTATAAATTGGCCGTGTGTCTTAAATTTTTAACATAAAAGTCGCCAAATCGTGGTACATGTAATAAAACAATAGATATTATGTTCGAGCTGCTGGGCAAGGGTTAAAATGACTCTGAGAAGAGCCAAAAACATATTTAAGCCCACGAACGTATACTGTACTATTACTAATATCATCAGTAAAATAGCAACAGAAAAAAATGAAGAATCACGAGAGTGTGCGAGCTTTCAGCTCAGCAAAATTTTCATTTTAGCCCACAAAATTCGCCATAATGCACGACAAAGGGATAATAATAAAATCACTGACATACAAACCGCAAGCAAGTGCGCTAATTTTTTTTATTCCTATCACGTTTTGAGGAAAATAATGAAATAGTGAGAAAA